ACTACTACTACTACTGCTACTAGCAAACTACTACGACCACGACTACTACTACTACGACTACGACTACGACTACTACTACTACTACTACTACTACAACGACGACGACGACGACGACTACGACTACTACTACTTCTACCACTACTGCTGCTGCTGCTGCTGCTACTACTACTACTACTGCTGCTACTACTACTACTACTACTACCACTACTACTGCTAGTACTACCACTACTGCTACAGCGACGGCGTTGGATAAGAAACTCTTTTATATCCGAGGCAGGGTACCCTGAATTTCTTATTTACGAGTAGATAGTGCGCTGTTCAGGGTCATAAGTAATACCCGCCAGGTTTAAGGTACTCTAAATTTCTTATCGGAGTCGTATCGTGCGCCTCTGACGCCGTCCAGGGCTCAACATGGACGAAGAGCCCGGGCTGGGAATTGGGTCCAAAGAAATAAGACTAAATAAGAAATACAGGGGCTGAATTTCTTATTTCCTGTGTTTTTGGTAGAAATCCTAGATCAAGTCTTCAGCCTTCCCCCCATTGCCTTCGGGCGAGTACATTCCTGCCCTTTTTAACCTGAAGCTTCGAATGCCGAAGCCCTAAGCCCAAACTGCAAGGTACTGTAACGTGTTTAGGGTCCTGCTTTTCTGGTCTTGGGGGCGGCGTTTAAGAAATTGGATACGAAATTGGGTTTCGGGGGTAGGGGACCCTGAATTTCTTATTTCCTTTTGCTTGGTTGTAGCAGAATCTAGCACATGCTCGCCCAAATGCAGGGGCTGGATTTCTTATTCAATGTTTTCTTATTCAGTGCTGGCGCTGTACTACGACTGCTACTGCTACGACTACTACTACTACTACTACTACTACTACTACTACTACTCCTGCTGCTGCTGCTACTACTACTACTACTACCACCACTACTCCCACCACTACTATTACCATCACCACTACCACTGCTGCTACTACTACTACTACTACTACCACCACCACCATGACGACGTCTACTGAGCGGTGGTGGTCGTGGTAGTGCTAGTGGTAGTGGTAGTGGTCGTGGTGGTGGTAGTAGTACTAATACTAGTACTAGTACTAGTAGCAGTACTAGTAGTAGTCGTGGTCGTAGTAGGAGTAGTAGCAGCAGCAGAAGAAGTGGTCGTAGTAGTAGTCGTCGTCCTCGTAGTAGTAGTAGTAGTCGTCGTCGTCGTCGTCGTATTTAGTACATCCATCCATTGCTCTATTGATGCTTTGGTGCATTGGCATATGGGTGTCATAGTATGGTAGTATGTTAGTAGATTAATATGCACTATGCCAGCATATCTGTTTCAGTATGTTGGTATCTCAATACTAGATAAAGTGTTAGGCAAGGTAGATACAACTACAATTTGTGTCCTTAGTAGTGGTACTAGCAGATAAATGCAGACAGGGAGCGACTTTGCACAACTTGCTTGGCATGTGCGTCGAGCATCTCAGCAGAAACTTCTACAGGTGCTCCAGCAACGCCATTCACTGCAGAGAACCCATTGGCCACATCGGCTCCGTTGACTGCAGCGACTCCGTTGACTCCGGCAAGCCCATTGACTCCGGCAACTTCGGCACCTTCGGTTGCAGTAAACAGTCCGCAAACGGTGATGCTGCTCAGAGATAGAGCAGCGCTCGCAGCTTGGTGCGGCCGCCTGGGACTTCGGGGACGGGCATGCCGATCTCTTCAGGGCCATGGGCAAAATTACAGGCAGCGCCTTTTGTGCACCTGCCTTCCCTCGGCTGTCCGGCGATGCATGCAGAGTTGCCCTCATGCATGTGCACGATGCGAAGCAAAGCATAGTGCTGCCGAGCATCATGTGGAACTTGCACATTGCTGTCTTTATTTTACCTGGGCTGAATCTTTCTGAATCACGAGGATGATGAAAGACAAGCATCATGTCCCGGGGCCTGGCAGAAACGAAGCCTCAACACAGAACATATGCCTTCAATCGTGCACTCGCAACCATGAACTACGACTAACTACGACTCCCTCAGCCGGGGAGGCCGAAGCATAATCCCCGGACAATGAACCGAGCAGATGGGAGTGAGAGCAACGTCTCAAAGAGAGACAGCGCATGTAGCAGCAGTATTGCATGTCGTCGTATGCGAACAGTACGAGGTCAGCAGCAGGCGTCATCACAGCATCAGCATGCGTTCTGAGTACGTGAAGCAGCAGCGGCCCTGGTCCCTGAACCTTTATCCTTTCAGCCTCGTGGCTGGCACCACCGGCGCCCTTGCACTCTGAGTCTGGCCTGTCAGGAGCACACAACAGCATGAGCTATAATAGGCCTCGATGTGACATAGACTGGAAGTCAAACTCGCCAAGCAACCATTCCTAGAATTCAGGGTTTAAGCTTGGATCTTCATAACCAGTAAGTTGAGCTAGCATGATTGCCTTCGCAACAAAAAGACATCCCCCAATGGCCGGCCTGCACTGGTACTGCCCAGGGGCCACTTCGATCATCTCAGTTTGTCACGTGTTCGCGTTCAACGGTCGTTGCTCGGGGATGCCTAAGCCTATGTGGAGCCTATCTCTACAATAAACCAGAACATCAATGCTTGTGCTAAAGTACATACATACATACATACATACATACATACATACACTGCACATACACATACACATACACATACACATACACATACACATAGACATAAACATACACATATACGTATACGTATACATATACGTATACATATACGTATACATATACATATACATATACATATACATATACATACATATACATACATATACAAACATATACATACATTACATACATTACATACATTACATACATTACATTACA